ACGCCAGTGCGCGCTATAGAGGAGAGCAACCCTGCACGAAGGACTTTTGTAGATTCTTAATTCATGCCGATATTGAAAACCCAGACTACCTCAAAAGTATCCTTTGGACTGATGAATCGAAATTCGATCGTGATGACATTACAAATTATTAAAATACCCACTATTGGGCCCCTAAGCGCAAAATCCAAAACAATTCAAGGAAGGCAAGCACCAGAGAAGATGCTCGTTAAACGTTTGGATGGGAATTATACATAATAAATTGATTGGACCTTTTTTCTTGCTCGACAATTTAAATGGCACCACTTATGAAAACTTATAAGAAATGAAGTACATGCATTACTAGAAGATGTTCGGCTAGCTAGGAGAATCGATATGATATACCAGCATGATGGCTGCCCAGCCCATTATTTTCGAGGTGTAAGACAATGGCTGGATGAAAAGTATCCGCAGAGATGGATCGGTCGAGGAGGCCCAACGCCGTGGCCGGCGAGAAGTCCGGACTTGACGCCTTGCGATTTTTACATTTGGGGTCACATGAAACAAATAGTGTACAATACATCCGTTGCAGATATCGAAGATTTGATGCGGAGGATTTTGACAGCCACCGACGAGATGAAACGCAAACGCACTCTTTCAACATAAGTGACAGTGACTCAACTATACTAAGTGACATATAAATCCGAACACCCAGTTTAAATGGTTTTATTTTAATAAAAGTTGGTTAATGTATTTATCTTACTGTAAATAACCAGTGAAAAAATTGTCAGCCTTATCAGTTGGACATTCCGGTTTTTATAATGCTTTTTTTTAATTCACTAACGCTCTAAAAATGAATATTTCAGACGCAGTAAAGAATCAACGTTGGCGGATTTTGGTTCTTGACATCCTTTACGATCGGTTACGATGCCTAGAGTACGGAGACCTGTACGATTTCGTCAACTTAGTGAGTTTGATAGGGGCCGTATAGTGGGACTTCGGGAAGCTGGACTGTCTTTTCGCGCAATTGCAGTTAGAGTGCAAAGAAGTGTAGACACTGTGGTTAGGTGTACAGCCCAACTTTATCAATATCATTACACGCCAGTGCGCGCTATAGAGGAGAGCAACCCTGCACGAAGGACTTTTGTAGATTCTTAATTCATGCCGATATTGAAAACCCAGACTACCTCAAAAGTATCCTTTGGACTGATGAATCGAAATTCGATCGTGATGACATTACAAATTATTAAAATACCCACTATTGGGCCCCTAAGCGCAAAATCCAAAACAATTCAAGGAAGGCAAGCACCAGAGAAGATGCTCGTTAAACGTTTGGATGGGAATTATACATAATAAATTGATTGGACCTTTTTTCTTGCTCGACAATTTAAATGGCACCACTTATGAAAACTTATAAGAAATGAAGTACATGCATTACTAGAAGATGTTCGGCTAGCTAGGAGAATCGATATGATATGCCAGCATGATGGCTGCCCAGCCCATTATTTTCGAGGTGTAAGACAATGGCTGGATGAAAAGTATCCGCAGAGATGGATCGGTCGAGGAGGCCCAACGCCGTGGCCGGCGAGAAGTTCGGACTTGACGCCTTGCGATTTTTACATTTGGGGTCACATGAAACAAATAGTGTACAATACATCCGTTGCAGATATCGAAGATTTGATGCGGAGGATTTTGACAGCCACCGACGAGATGAAACGCAAACGCACTCTTTCAACATAAGTGACAGTGACTCAACTATACTAAGTGACATATAAATCCGAACACCCAGTTTAAATGGTTTTATTTTAATAAAATTTTGTATAAGTACTTAATGAAACATAATAAGTAAATGATAAAAATTTCAAAATGATTGCACTGCTTTAAAGCCCTTTGACCTTTAATAATGTGTGGATGCACCTTGATGTGCTACGCATTCTCCAATGCGCCTAGGCATGCTTCTGATCAGGTGGTCAATGTCCTCCTGTGGTATCTCATTCCAGGCAACCACCAGCTCCTCTCGAAGTGCTTCTAGAGTCTGAGGAGGACGTTGCAAATTGAGCAATCTCCTACCCATCATATCCCACACGTGCTCAATTGGGGATAAGTCGGGAGATCTTGGTGGCCATGGTAGCAATGTGACATCATTATGTTGAAAGAAGTCTATTGTGACTCTTGCAACATGTGGTCGGGCATTATCTTGTTGGAAAGTTGTACCTGCCAGGGTGTCAATTTAGGGTAAAAGATGGGGTTCTAGAACTTCGTGGATATAACGCTGCGCGTTCATGTTACCTCTGATGAAGATTAAAGGTGACCTGGAACCATAAGCTATAGCACCCCAAACCATAACTCTAACAGTGTGATGAACATGTCTTTCAACAAAAAACTGTGGATTCCTCCTTTCACCACGTCGCCTTCTAACCCTGGCACGACCATCGTGCATGCCTAAACAAAATCGAGACTCGTCACTAAAGACAATACTGTTCCATTCCTGATCCCAGAGTGACCGTTGTCTGCACCACTCAAGGCGATTACGTCGGTGTTCTCGAGTTAAAGGGAGGACCCAGTGTAGCCGGTATGAAAACAAGCCAAAACTTCTCATTCGTCGGTAAACACTTCGCATGCCAATAGGTCTTCCGTGTTCTGCAAACCATTCATTTGCAATGGACCTGGTAGTGGAGAAACGGTCCCTTAAGGCCAATAATCTTAGGCGGCGATCTTCACGGTCTGTTGTTCTACGGCGGCGTCCAGTGCCCCTTGCTCTTTGCGTTCGGCCTTCTCGAAGCCATGCCTGACAACACCTAACCACAGTGTCTACACTTCTTTGCACTCTAACTGCAATTGCGCGAAAAGACAGTCCAGCTTCCCGAAGTCCCACTATACGGCCCCTATCAAACTCACTAAGTTGACGAAATCGTACAGGTCTCCGTACTAGGCATCGTAACCGATCGTAAAGGATGTCAAGAACCAAAATCCGCCAACGTTGATTCTTTACTGCGTCTGAAATATTCATTTTTAGAGCGTTAGTGAATTAAAAAAAAGCATTATAAAAACCGGAATGTCCAACTGATAAGGCTGACAATTTTTTCACTGGTTATTTACAGTAAGATAAATACATTCACCAACTTTTATTAAAATAAAACCATTTAAACTGGGTGTTCGGATTTATATGTCACTTAGTATATACCAATTTTGGCCAGAAAAGGAGGAAAACGTGCATCTGATATGCATAGTGATATATTTTCTATGAATTCGCATATTGTAAACTATGGATCACAATAATATCTGGCCCGCTCTTCAAGGATTATCTGCCTAGAGTCCGTGATTTACAATACAAAGCGAATTAGTTCGCTAGGAATAAAACCATTTAAACTGGGTGTTCGGATTTATATGTCACTTAGTATATGTCGTAGGCTACGTATGTACTTGCATACATAACAGTGGCAGGCAATTTGAATAAGATTTATAGTTTTTAAGTAACAACGTTGTGGTTGTTTCATTAATTCTTTATAAAATACATGTTTTTGTTTAATTAGTTAGATTTCAAACTTTACCGAGCTCATTTAATTTAAAAATTTAGTTGTGCCTACAGTACCCTTGTACGGTTTTTTAGGATATGCCTGAAAAAAATAAAATTGTACTGTCTTTGAAAGCTCATGAAATTCTGTAATTATTTTACTAATTTGTACGCCGACTGTCATACATTTTATTTCAAATAACTTATGTTGATTTTCGGAAATAACAAAACAAAAATGAAAATCTCTTCATTAACAGCCTTTTATTTCTAACAGTTTCAAACTTTTGGTATAGCATTTTATCTCAATTATTTGCTAGTTTCACAGCTCTCAGAAAACCATCAAGTCAGTTCCAAGAAATGAATAGATTTAAAAAAAAATGTATTGATCAGTAAGCAGAAAATTCTTAAAAAATCTCGAAATGCCGATATCTCGGAAACCACTTATTTCCGACCCCCAGTTTATTGGGATTAATTTATCACAAATAACCTCTAGAATCACCACTTTCAGCGAATAGGTAGAATTTCCAATCACCCTGTATATACTCTAATGAACAGAAAATGGTATTTCCGATTATACTTTTTTCTCGAAAGTGTTCGATATTGTTATATCTTTCCGGCTCAATTTTATAGCATTTCTGAAATAAGGCAATTTACCGATTTCTGCGCTGACAGCAATACGTATGTATATCTAGGTTGACGTAAACCCTTCTCAACGTTTCTCCGAAATTGACCTTCAGACATGGAAATGAAGATTTAAAGGGGCACCTTTTTATGTTGGATGAAGATTTACTGCATTTTTATTGTTTCCCTGGAGGTCATAAAATAAACACTTTATAGGGGTTCAGGACATTTATCTAGACATGTATAGCGAAACCAAGTAGACGATAAAAAGGAAGTAACAAAGACTTTTTCGATTACTGTGATGTGTCACTATTTTTTAGTTTCATTATTACAAAGAACAGGGCAATGTGACGATATCCGAGTACAGTTTTCGAGATATATACGTTTTTTTGTGAAATGATATAGGTTTGGGTTTTTCTATAGGCAAGTCGTCATAGGTGCATAGTGAGGATTCGTGTACTAACAATCGGCATTGATGGTAATTCTCTTAGTTTTTTGTCTGATACTCGCTTACTTGAGATTTATGCTTCATCCTGGAAACCGCATATTAAAATCTGCTGAGTTTCAATAGCGGGAGAGATAAAAAAATCCCAGTTTGGTGAAGTATACAACTAACTGGTGAGAAATAGGCTACAGACAGGAATATTTATAAAGCATGAGGAAATTATTACATTTTACATAATTTTTTATTTCCAAACATTAAAGTTTTATAGACATTTATTTTGCGATATCAAGTGAGGCACTGCGGAGATGTTATGTGTGTGGTGCTTGATGCGAGTTTCTGAAGAAGAAAAAAAATGGGGAGAATAGAACAAAAGACGTAATTGAACTTTTAGGAACGACAATACAAACAACTGGTCAAGTACAGCTAATATACTTCACGGGCAGCATACGAGGGATGTCTTTTAAGTTTTGCATATGGAAATAAAACAACACGGTAGGTAGTTTTAAATGACTTTATTGCTTTTCGAAGTATTCTCCACGAAGATTAATACACATCTGCGTGCGCTCGAACCAATTTTCGAAGCACTTATTCCACTCGTTTGCTGGCAGATCCAAAACGGCATTTTTGAATGCGTCAACTGCTTCTTCTGGTGACTGGAACCTTTGACCACGCAGTCTGTTTTTAATTTTCGGGAAAGTAAAGAAATCGCTAGGACTTAGATCGGGACTATATGGAGGATGATCCAATAATTCCATGTTTTCTTCCGATAAATACTGCCTTGTTTTTTGGGCTGTGTGCGAGTTTGCATTGTCTTGGTGGAGGATGATTCTTCTTTCGGGGTTGATTTTTCGAAGCTCGGTGATGAATTTTGGCAAACAAATGGTAGTATACCAATCCGCAGTAACAGTTCTTTGCTCATTAAGAGGAATTGTTGCAATTTGACACAAATGTCGCGACCATCTTTTTCGAAACACTTTGAGAACGGATGACTTTTGTTGGCTTTTCTTCACCATGGAACACCCAAACATCCGACTGTCGTTTATTTTTTGGTTCATAATAGTAAATCCACGATTCATCACCACTGACAATGCTGTACACATTTTTTGAGTTTCCGGAATTGAAACGGTCAAGCGTTTTTTGACACCAGTTAACACTGGCTGCTTTCTGCTCTTCAGTTAAGAGGTGGGGTATCCAACGAGAAACTAATTTTCTTACTGCTAATTCTTCATGTAAAATTTTTTGAATTTAGTCCTTTAAGATCTTCAAGGACGCCTCAAACTCGCGATATGTCACATTTCTATCTTCAATGATGAGTTTGCGCACAGCACCGACGTTTTCCTGGGTGACTGGCGTTTTTGGTGCATCCACCCTGGGAGCGTCGCTATGACTCAACCGTCCACGTTTGAATTCTCCACACCAACGGGAAATTGTAGACTGATGTGGCGCTTTGTTGCCGAAAACAGACAGTAACTCAGCAAGGCATTCTTGTTTCGATAATTGTCTCTGAAAGTTGTAATAAATTATGGCGCGGAAATGTTCTCGGTCGAGTTCCATTTTTCTAATGACTTGGTGACACTTAAAAATTCACTGTAGTGAGAACACTGCACGTATTGTTGTGAAACTTTGAATTTAAGTTTTCTAAAGAGTGAGGTTCGATCCGCGCGGCCTACTATCTTCCTATATGCAAAACTTAAAAGACATCCCTCGTATTCAGTAATAATTTTCTCGCATATCACTGATTTTATACACACCAATATACCCAGTCACCACACTCAGGTGAAAACGGAGAAACGCTAATATGTTATTTTATAGAGAAATTATTAACGATGAGGATGACAACATAAGTTATACTCAGGAAGTCGAACAAACACATTTTTCTTGATGGCGACATTACAGTAACCCATAGTCTTAACCCTAATCTAATGAACATTACCTGAAAATGGTTGCACTTGTGTCGCATACCTATACTACTTTGCGGCCGAAAGTAATTAGATGCTCATTACTTCACCAATATGACCCTTATGCGGTGAGTATAAAACTGCTTCAATAATCGCACTTGAGTGGACGCGACTTCACATACACGACTACACATCTTTATTGTCTCAGAAACTGCTGGTCGTACGAAATATTGCCTCATACCGAAAATGCATAGCAGGTTACGGTATACAATTTTTCTAATATGTCCAAAGTGCATTCAGCGTGCAGGTAACAAGATATCTGCAAATCACCGACTTTTGTCACATTTTTCACCTTGAATAAGTCGAGAAGCCAATTTTTGAGATAATCTTTAGAACGTCAAAGCAAAGGTCCATGCTAATTTTCATTATTACAGTCCACTAAAAAACCTACTATTTGATGTTCCGAAAGACAATTATGTGCTATCGTGGTCTACGTATGTATATGAATCTATTGCTTATTATAAAAGACATCTCGGTTCAGGTTGCGACAGCATTCTCTATCGTGAAGCATCAGAAAATATTTCAGGAAAATCGCATCGCATGGGCACCCGTCGTAAACGAGACGACACCACGGTATTCCCAACGTTCTGTTCCAGCGGAATGCAACCTTCTCATTCATAAAGGCACCTTTTCGTATTGTTCCCCCGGGATCTGTGTCGCAAGTGTGTCATGTTATATGGGAGTGTTTTATGGAAACAGAAGACAGGAGGAAACCAGATGTGTAAGTGGGACAGTATACTATTTAGTAGCATTTCCTGCGCTTTGCAGACTTATGGTGTGGACATTGCTTATTCTTAATCAGAGATATGTCAATATCTACGCTAACTCTGTACAATATTTCTTCTAAACCGAAGCAGCTGCGCAGGCAGAAGCCTAAATGCCAGGACACCGCTGCTGCTATGATGATCCAAAATAAACTTTTTTAATCCGATTTTTGAACTGCCTAAGGTTAGTAGAACTAGGAAAAGCTTCCTTATGTAAATTGTTCCACAACCTCGACATCCTAGGGACAAAAGAGCGGTCGTATCAGCGAGTTCTGGATGTACGTATCTCGACACGTTTAGAATTGGAGGCCGGGAGTCAGGTGGGTCTGTCTAGCAGGCATGCGGCGACATAATGGAAGAGAGCTCTGAGGAGCAAAGCCCGTTGGTATAGCGGTAGAAGAGAGATAGATCGCCGACTTCCCGCCGGTGCGAAAGGGTCCCGAGACTATCTGTTAGAGAAGAGATCAGTCGGACAGCCCTCCTCTGGACAGCATCAAGCATAAATAAAGGCCTTACCTGGGCCTTGTATAGAGTCCAAGGTCATGCAGAGAAAAGTACTTCTTAGCTCTAAGCAAATAGCCTAGCTTTTTCCCAGCAGCCGCCGCTATTGACCACATGTCGCTCTGAGTTCCTGCATGCAGAGTGCTGTCATCAGCGAAGCTGTGGATTGGGTTAATCGTGCGGGACTACGAGGTCGTTGATATGTAATAGGAACAGTATCGGAGCCAATACCGATCCCTGGGTACGCCCGCGTTGACGTTGTGGGATGAAGAGGAGAACCCGTCAAACACGACGGATATCTTGCGGCCAGAGAAAAAGTCAGCCACCCACCTGCAAAGCTTGGAGGCCATAGGATGGAAGTTTGCTTAAGAGGGCAGCGTGCCACAGCTGATCGAACACTTTCGTGATGTCAAGAGCAACGACATGAGCCTCACCATTAAACTGGATGAGTTTACTTCACAATTGCGTGACGTAAGCTAGAAGGTCCCCTGTGGATCGCTGGTGCCGGAAACCGTACTGCCTGACACTAATCAAGCTGTGACGTTCGAGGTAGTCCAGAAGGTCGCGATTCTTGCACCTCTATCACCTTAATTATAACAGAAAGCGGAGCTTTAGGCCTGTACTTGTAAGGGTCGGTTTTGGATTCTTTTTTTGGGATGGGTTGGGCATAAGCAAATTTACAGTTTTCTGGGAAGGTGTCGGGTTCATAAGACATCTGGAAGAGACGCGAAAGAACTGGAGCAAACTCCGCTGCTCACCTTCTCGGTACAAAGGCAGGAATCAGGTCTGGGCCAGAAGCTTTGTTGATGTCGAGCGACAAGAGCACTCGTCTTACGGTCTTATGTCTGAAAGTTACCTCCCGCATAGAGTAGGGAACCCTTTGAACTGATGACACCTGGGCGTTGTGGGGGACGTCCATGGTGGAGTTAGCAGTAAAGATCTTGGCAAGCACTTCCGCCTTGGCCTTTGAATCGTATAGAATCGCTCCATCCTCACACGTAAGTGGCGGAAGGCTACTGTGTGAGAAGTTCTTTTCAATCTGCTTGGCCAGCGTCCAGAAAGACCGACTGCCATTGCGCTGCGACATTACCCTGTGCCTAACTTTTGTATCGTCAGTTTGTCTATTCTCTTCAGTGGGGTTCTGTAAGAAGGTTCTGTATGCTTTGATCTCCTGATGACGAGCAGTGCCTCACGATTTGTTGAACCAGCCGCTGGACCCTGTATTCCTCCATCCCAACGTGGATAATTTCGGTTATCGATCAACAGATAGCCGACACATCCACGTCAGCGAAACAAACATCTCTCCAAGAAAAGGTAGAGAAGAGCTGCTGCAGCGGGTTCTGACCGAAAGCTAACCTCCTCAACACCGTGGTTGAGAGGTAGAACAGCAGTGCTGCAAGGGACAGGATACGTTGTGAGAAAGAGATTCAGCCATCTATTGGCGTTTGACGAAACCACGGTGGAAAGGTAGGGATCGTCACTAACTGGGTCATCCATTAGGAAATAGTGTACGTTCAACAGCACGATCTGCTGCGTCGGTCTTGTTTGAGCCCAACCAAGTAGGTCAAGTAGGTCTTTCCAGTTATGGTCCGGGGAAGAGCGATAAAGGCAGCAAATAAATTTGGAAATCTTTTGGAGTTGAGACAAAATGTCTTTGCGGGCTGATTCCAAAGAAACGTCTCTGGATCAGGAAAAACTGCTGTGGACAACAGCCCCAACTCCTAGGTTCTTTCTCAGATTGGAGTGCACCTCATAATTTGGGAAGCTAAGATGATTAATCGGTTGTCAGACTCATTAGCGGGAAATAAAAATATTTTTTAAAAAATGTCGTCTGGCACTAGCAAACTTAATTCGGAGTAACTAAGCAAGTATATATAGGAATATGGAAAGGAATTATGCATTTGCTTTTGGCGGAGATTTTGTGCCAGACCGTATGAAAATAAACAATTAATAACACGCAGCTTGGTGTACAGGTTTTTCAGTAAAGTACTTGCATTTGAAAAGCATCATGAGACTGACATTGACATTGGTCGGTAACACAGATTATAGCATGAATACATGACTAATTGTCCTTGTACCCAATGCGTTATTTACCCGATCTAGATTTTATTTCTTATTTTTCGTTTACGTTTTCTGCTTACTGTCTTCCTCTTTTGCTTTTGCAGATTTTCCACTGTCTCGATACTCTTGTCACTGGGTAGTAACACTTATTTGTATCTTTCTTACGACCGCCTGAAGCAGCACCTTATATTGGTCGTAACCCGGCACACAAGAATAAGGTGTGCCCAGAAGTGACCGACATTGGCAGCTTTAGCTCTCTAGAGCGTCAAAATTAGAATGATGCGCGCTTGTACGTGGTAGTAAAAAATTGATAATGATTAGGAAGTTATTTCCACGTGAAATAATGTATTCGGATTTTGTGTGTAAGGTAGGAAAACGGAGTATATCGGGCGACTGTCAATTTCCAACGTGACCTCCTTATTCTTCAAAAGCCATCAACATGACCAAAAAACGTAATAGACCTTTTTTGTAAAAAAAGTAATCTCTAAAAAAGATAGTTTTATACGTTACTTGCACCTTTACCCTGTAATTTCTCATAATCCTTTGATCATATGACACATTTTTATGGAAGCTAAATGATAAAGTATTCAATCCCTTACAAAAAAATTTCAATTACTATATAGGGTCGTTGATTTTGTCAAAATAACGGAAAATGCTCTAGCCCTATCATGATTTTAATCTGAACTAATCATCAGGAAGAAATAATCTAACGATAAGATTTGCTGTCGTCCGAATTCTAGGATTTCCTTATACAGAATCTCCATATTTCTTGGCATAAAGACTGATAACAAAATGCGCTTCATGGTAATATAACTTTGTTCATTCTTTAATAAGGCTTTTTGCTTGTTTCGTGCAGAGCCGGTATATCAATTTAGGGCGCTTCCAAAAACGGGGATAAAGCTCGGCCAGGGTGATATTTTCAAAGGCGCAAACTCCGTTCGTTATTAAAGTTAATGAGGGCAGAAGCTTCTAGATAGCATATGGGTCCCAATAAGGACCCAAAAGTATCCTATTAGCAGCTCACGCTGCATGTCAGAGCCTTCGGTTCTTTAGAGTAAGAATATCAGTCAAGTAAGTTGACTCGTTATTTTCCCCATAAATATTAATAAAAACAACAGTGCGATCGACGGCGATGAATCGATTGACAGATTGATGTAAATGAGTGACATCTACTTATTATACAAATTGTGAAATTTTAAAAAGTGAACATTCTTGCATGCAGTTTATTGAAGATCGCCGTTCTTTTAAGCTTGTTGGATATTTTTTTTCT